TACCCAGATGATTATCTGTTAATATTCAGATAATTATCTGTTAATGCACAGATAAATTATCTGTTGAAGTTCAGATAATAAAAAATGGGAAAATTCAGAAAAAATATCTGTAAAAATTTTTGGAAAGTTTTGCAGATAATAAATGCAAAACATTACAGTTTATCTGCGAAAAATTACTAAAAATGGAAAGAAATAATTGTAATAATTTATCTGTGCATTGACAGACTTTTATCTGATTTGGCTCGCCATTACAGTTATTTCTTTCCATTTTTGGTAATTTTTCGCAGATGAACTGAATTAATAAGAAATTAAAGAAAATATATTTGCAAATAAAAAGTTATTTTGAAATTAAAGAAGATATTTTTGTAATAAAGTTTTTTTTGCATTTGGTTTTTTTCGCGTCAAGAGATTTTTTTTCAAAGATTATCATCATAGTTTTTATTTTACTAAATAAAGCAATTGTGTATTTACCATATTTAGTATCGAGTACACAAAAGTCACGTTACTGAAGATTTTTTGGTGATGTTCTTGGAGTAGTTCTTTCTACATATAAATCATATGATTCTGATTCCATAGCATTCTTCATGACATGATTAGCTTCATTTTAAATATATACTCACTTTATGTAACAATAATTTTCTTATATGGAAATATATATTACACAAAATATATAATTCCAGCTGAAATTATAAATCACGTGTCATAATGCTGGTAATGGATAAATTGGAATTTCAGAATAATTTTGGCATTTCAGAAAAGTTTCGGAAAAATTTCTGGGCCTGAAATTAGTTTCAAAATTCGGAAATAGTTTTGAACAGCAGCTTTACTCCTAACAATATTGAAGATTTTAATTGGGACAAAGCCTTTGATCAGTGGGAAAAAGAGCAAGTACAACAGGTTAATCAGAATTAGACGATTCATTTATTAATTCGTACATAAATAGTTTTTTTTTTATTTTTATACATATTTTTTTAAAGCAAATTAAACTTTTTTTATATAATTTCTTATTATTTGTTAATGAATTTAGCTTCATATCCTGTAATATTGATCTTATTGATTTCTATTATATCAAATTAAAAAAAAATATTTAGCATAAATTGTAATTTATTTACATTTAATTGTATCATAAAAGATAAACTTGAGAATAAAAGTTGTAATTATTATAGACTATATATTTGAAATTTATTATACTTTAATGCTAAATAATTATTGATATTTTATATTACATCATTATTATAATAGTGTTATTATTTTAATTTTAGTAATGGTGATATAATATTAGTAATATGTTGTAATAATATATTACAATTATTAAAATTAGAATTAATAAAATTAAAACTTAGTTAAAGATCCATCTTTTTTTTAGGTTAGCTTTTTTAAAAAAAAAACTTTTAATTTAGCAGTTTAATTTTGATAATTTTTTTTATTTTAATTAAAGTAATAAGAATTATTAATTAAAAAAAATTATTAAAATCAGATTATTAAATCATAAAATAATGTTTTTGTAAAGAAAAAGTTTAATTTATATGAAATATAATGATAAGTATACATTTAAAACTTACTTACTTCTAATAATGGTTTTTAAATAAAAGTTCAGATTTATTATTAATTTTACCAACTTTCTTATTTTATAATTTTACTATATATATATAGAATAACGTTTTAAAATTATATTAAATTTTATCTTAGATTTTCAAAGACTTAAATTTTTTTAAATATTAAATAAATAAAATATTTTATAATAATTAAGTAGATAGATTAAGTAGACATCACTATATATATAGTGATATCTACTTAATCTATCTACTTACACCATAGTGATGCCTACTTATAGATATTGATGTATACTTACTTATTTTTACATGTCTATGCCCCTTCTGATGCTTTATTGCTATCCATCTGTTTTTACTGGTCTGTAACTGTTTGGTCGCTAAGCAGGGCAGAGGTTTGTTTTTCCACTCTATGACCCTTTTGGTTGCCATATTTGAGGTCGAGGGTGTGGTCCATTTGCTGGCCTTTTAAGTTGCTGAAATAGTGTAAAAAAATCATCGGGTGGCGCAGTAAATTTGCAGTTCAGATTTTGGCCGGCTTTATACCATAATTTCGGCCAATCTTTGGAAATTAGCGCCATGGTAGCGTCCTGATAGCGTCCTGGTAGTATCCTGGAGCTGTCATGGAACTGGCTGGGAACCTGAGTGTTTCTATTAGTTTGCCAGTTTCAGGCCAGCTTGAATGCCGAATTTGTACTGCGCCTTACTGCGCCAGTCACGTGATCCTGTTACAGCACCGAACACCCTTTCATAGTTACGGGCTAGTGACGAGAATATTTTCAGAACATTTTTGGCTTGGGTTGCGGGCTCTTCCCCGTTACCTTCCCGTCACATTCGAGGTGGTGGTTGGTTGAAGGTTTGGAGATGTCCATTTGATTGCCGGATGAGGCACAAAGTGCCGAGTTGGTGACCCAGATGCGCAATCCTGCCTTCCATAACCCTTTTGATTGCTGAGGATGAGACTCGAAGTGCCGAATTGGTTCAGAATTTACAGCTTTCATACTCTTTTTCGTGTATTCTCCTGAATCTTTCTGCCCTCCCGATTTCTTTCCTGCCTATCAGCGGTAGTACCCCAAGTTGTAATTTCTTATTTTCTTTCCTTATATATTATTCTAACTTGGGGTACTACCAATTTTATATTTTATTTTTCGCTCTTGCCTTTCTAGAACCCTTTCCCGTATAGTTACTACTCTGGGATACTTTAGGATACTACCACATCGACCACTTTGGAGTAATACTACATCGATCACTTTGGGGTACTACCACATCGTTTACTTTCTTTTGGCTTGGCGCTGGGTACTACACTAACCCAGTATTTTACTAGCAAGCATATTCGCTCAAAATTATATAGAATTTTTATTTTGAACTTTGCTAGTTTCTCTGTTATTTTATACTGCTTTCTTGCATATACACCATGCTTCTTGCGCAAAAAAATGCTGGGCCTGGCCCACTTGTTTGTTCCGAACTGCTTGAATTAATTTTTAGTAATCTCAAGATTAAAGATATACTATATTCCTGTCTTACTATAAATCATCAATGGAATTTTGAAGCATTTCGAGTTATTTTAAAGCAAAAAGAAAGGGAA